CCAGCAAAAATGATAATCAATAGGTTTAAAGTCATAGGTTACCTCTTCTTCCTCTGCTTCTTCAGCATGCTCAAAAAATCTTGAATATTTTTGGATGACCCTTTTACTGATCTGACCCTTGTACAGGAACAAAAAGTTTAGCACTGATTCGCAAAGAGGTAAATTTCAATTTTATATTTTCCGGCTAACCATCAAAATTAATTTGCTATCCAAAAGGTCTTAATGTTGTATATATGAAAATAGGAAGAAGAGGTTTAGGGAAGTATTAGATAGGGCTACTCTTTTAAAAAAACACATAATTGTGAGGATGGCAGACCTATCGATGATGCATCTATAGAGATTATGGTATATACTTGGATTTCTTTATTTCTGGTGTTTTTTAACTTTGCATATAATTCTATAAATAAATAGTTTAATTAATATATTGTAGTCAAAGTTAATGAGCTTGCATCTTCTCAACAAAATAATGAAGGATTTTTTGAGAGAAGAAGTACTATCGCCCAAGATGATATTTTTTCTTAAGTCATCGGTGAACCAGAAAGGTGTGATCGAGTGCGCTTGATGGGATCAGGTCCAACTCCAACAGATTTATGGGGATCTGAACTAACGAGACATGTCTTGAATATGGAATTGGAGATTAAAAATCGACAATTAAAAGACAAAATCAATGACTTAGAGGGAAAAATGAAAAATATGGCTACAAATTTTTTTGGATTATGGAATCTCGTGCTAGGTAGACAAATAAGTATTATTTCTTACAATAACTAAAATATTTATACATATAGCAATTGGATTGACAATATATGATAATGATACTTGTTTATTGTAATCAAGGCCCAAAATGTTGAAAATGTTCCTTTGGATTCTCCACACCAAATGCATTTCTCTGTTAGTAGCTATAATGTAGTGGTGACCCTATATGAGGTAAAGGTATGATTATAAAATATTAATTTATTATAAGTAAACAATATTTAATATCTATGCCATTAACCATTAGGAACTACAAGTTGGGAGCATTCCTTCACATGTGGGCAACAATAATTCATTTGACCTGCAAATGAAAATTTGGATGAGGTATTCTTAGTATAATAAAATAAATGTTATTTCTCTTGAAAAATATTATTATAATCCTAAAATGATTTATTGTGTATGCATTAAAACATGTGAAGCTCTTTAACGAGGATATGGTAAGAAAAAGGTGACAAGAGGTATACTTGTTAATGAAGATCCTAAAAATGTGGTGGGTGATGAAGCACTTGGTCATGGATGGTGTGAGATATCCTTAAAATCAGTAATGATTAATAACTTAGTTTTGTTGAGGAAATGTGGTAATATGGAAACTCTTGGAGATGCAATTGATCTCACATCGCATGGGTTAAATCAATGGTAAGTATATATATATATATAATGCATATAAAACTCTTACATAATTTAATTTATATAGCTAATTATTGACATCAATTCTTATGTATTCATTTTTGTTGAAATTGACAAACTGAACTTTATGATCCAAAGAGAAGGTCTTGAATATGATGCACATATAAACAACTATTCAGATGCAATGAGGATAATTTTGTTAATTCTCTTTTATTTTTTGGTGATAAAAAATTTATTAAATATGTGTATTGAACAAATACTACTATGAATATTTTGTGTAAGTTTGTACAGGTTTTATCATATAGGTGAAATTAATTTTTTTGTAATGGCATTAATTCAAAAATTAAAAGGGAAAAAAACTGTAGCAATGTTTTGATAAAACCGTTGCTAAAAGTGCCATACAATAGCAGTTTTAGGAACAGTTATATTTTGTAACGACAATTCTACGACATCGGTTTTTAACCATAACCGTTGCTATAAGAATTTTATAAATACCATTAATGTAAAATACCCCGTGGCAATACAAAAGAATAGTTAATACTTTTAACGATTGTTTTACTTGAAACCATTGCTATTTCTATTTGTTCATCAATAGCCCATATTCTATAGTCACGAATAAAATCATTGTTATAGCAATTTATGACAACAATACAAAATAAATCTATTGCAATAAAATTTTTAATTAGCAACGATTAATATACCGTGGCTATACGGCAATATCCATTGTCCTTGACGAGGCCAACTCCTCATGAGGAAAAACTCAATATTAATTTCTTTGATATATTGCAACATTTTAATAAGTTGCTTACTGGGTTGTATTCTTGACTTAGAGCGCTTACGAAAAGAGAGAGTCACAGGAGAATAAAGAAACCAGTCTCTCCTCAACCTAGAGTTTCGGTGGACTCGGTGGTTAAGCGTATAACTCCTTTATAGCAAGATTCTTTGAAATGGAGAGAAGAAAGAGGTGATGTTTTTAAATCCAGAGATGCATTCCTAACCTGACGCATCCATCTAATTTGTAGGTTGGTAAAATTTCGTGTGAATTGTTTGAAGAGCTAGTTCCTAAGCGGGGCATAATCTAATAGTGATGATGAGAACTCTGTTGACCTCCCTGCTTCTAGTTCAGTTTACAATAATAATGAGGCCCCAAAAACATAAGAGGGAGAGATAGAGGTGACAATAGGTGTGGAAATTTTTCACCCATCCCGTTGAACCCATCCAATCCACCCAATATCTATCCAATCTAACCCGCCAATTTATTTGGCGGGTTGGAAATGGGTTGATTACTCATTAGGTCAATTTAAATGGATTGGGTTGGGTTGGGTTATGAATAACCTTTGGGTTAACCACTAAAAATACAATTCATACAAGTATGAATTCCTTAGCATTTTTCTTTTAACTTTCTTCATTTGAGTGAAATAATTTATAAGTAATGCATTAATTAATTACTAAAATTAGTTTTCCTTGAATCAACCCACTTCACGCAAATTGACATAAATCCAAATAAACCCGATCCGAATATGTGCAACCTCATCCGGATTTGGACTGACATGCCCCTTGCACTGCTTCAAACTAGTCGATTTGGTCCTTGACCTGCGCACAACATGATATGGGCCGGTTTGAGTCAATCTGCTATTGACTGAACCTATCCAATCTGGTGTGACCGAACTGATCCTAATCCAAACGTTTCAACCACTCTTGATGTGATTATCTTGAAGACAACTCTAGTTAGATTGTTCAAGTTGGTTTAACCGATTTGAATGTAAATGGTTCGGTCAAACTTAAAATCCGAACATAGTCAATGGCTTTGCCACTTATGTAAAAATAATATGCATGTATTATGGTTTGAACCTAAAACACTTATGTAAATAACAACTACTGTTACCACCAAGCTATGGCCAACTTGTTTATTAAGTGGGAGTTAGTTTTTAGTTTTAAGTACATAAATATAAGACTAATGGGTTTGGGCGGGTTGGATTGAGTAAAGGCAGGTTTGGGTTGAATCCAACCCATTTAATTTTATATAATTGGGTCATTAATGGGTTGGCGGGTTAGATGGACTGGGTTGAAGCTCAACCTAAACGAAACCCAACCCAACCCGCCCAATTGCCATCACTAGGTGACAAAGGTAAGAAGAGATAATATTTTGGTTTGAGGGGGACTTGAATTAGTATGGTGTTGGTGCTTTCTTTCCTCTTGGTTCTTTTTGTAAAATGTATATAGTTTTTTCTACTTGGTGTAGGCCTATTTTTGTTTTCACCCAATAAGTTAGGTAGATTTGTTTATTAGCATTGGCTTAGGGCATGTGAGATTCTTGTGGGTTTTGTAAATTCTACACCCTCCCTGCCTCCCTAGACCTCCCAACCCGTATCCTCCCCAAAACAAATAGCAGGTTGGATTTTCATATATATATATATATATATATATATATATATATATATATTCCAAACCCTTATTGCACATGAAAACGCAAAACCCTTTCCTACCCTACCCTCATTGTATTGGAGAGAGGGGTGCGTGGGGTCTAGAACCTGAATCTAATTTCCAATTGTTTACTATTATATATAAACAATAAACAAGTAAAATAACATAAACAAATATAAAAGTTTCTAATTATTTAATTAAAATATGCAAAAAAAACACACAGCATATATATATATCAATTATCTTTTACATAAAATTCAAAATATTATTAAACTCAACACATAATACATTAGTTTCATATGCCTTCCAACAACATGCAAGACGGGAAAGGTTAGATTTAACCTAATACCATATCCTGTCCATACTTGAACGGGTTGTAAAATCCCAAAACCTATATCTGCCCCCAAATCCATTTTTTTTTGAAAACAAAGAAAAAATTTCCCTACGTCGTAATTAACTCACAAAAGCAAACGACGGCAATAAAGGAAAGAGCACTATATCTGAATCCCCACCCCTCAGCTAACTGTTGGTCGCCCTCGGCCGGTAATACAACTCATAATATTTAATCGGAACCAAAATATCGGCCAGTGCTTTTGCTTTTATATTTATTGCTTTGTTTTGCATCAATGGAGACCAGCTGATAACAAGCCACTCGTGCATACAAATATAATAAATGCTAATTTTGTCGCTCTCCATCTTCTCTATCTTCCTATATTTTTCGAGATCTCAACATTTACATCTAGAATAAACTATTTGAATTAATTTCTCAGTAATATTAGTTATTACTGATGGGTCAAGTTAGATAATTTGAACAGACAGCTGCATGTGAAGGAATTGTTAAAGAAGATATTGTGAGATCTGCACAGAGTATAGCGTCACGGCTGTGCAGACAAGGATAGAAGTGGACCTATATCATATCAACATCAAAATTCCATGGTTAATAATTTCACCATTCGAAAAAAAAAAAGAGATTGCTGGCCAACATTGTGACAACATAACCGAATATAGAGGAAGAATCACATTAAATTTACTTGCTATTCACGTGGAAGTAGTAAGGATGCCAATTTCCAAAGATTCTTGTTGCCTCCACTCATCTGTATTTTTTTATGTTTAATCTTGGTTATAAATAGATGATCGAACCAGAAACTTTTGCACTGCAGAAGATTTTGAATTTCTAGCTTCACATTGAGAGAAAAGCAATGGCAGGCTATTATCTTGAAAAATCTGAGAACTGGTATCATGTTCGTTCAAATAGTTTGCCTGCCAGATCACACCCTGTCACTTCTACGATCGACGACGAGTTGAACAAATTAAAGGCTTGGGAGGAATTGTCGACATCCAGCTCAAAGGCAGAGACCATATGTGTTGGTCTTTCTGGCCTTGGAGATGTGTATGAATGCGTCAAGGATCTTCTTCACTTGCCTTCCACGCAACAAGCCCTCTTCCAGTTTCCAGACCAGAAATGGGTTTCTGAAGTTCTAGATGCATCTGTCAAATTGGTGGACGTGTGTGAAACTACAAGGGACCTGCTGTTGCAGATGAAACAAAGTGTTCAAGATCTCCAATCGGGTCTTCGTAGAAGAAAAAGTACTGAAGAGTCAAGCCTCCAATTCTGCATAAATGCTTTCATCTCTGCAAGAAAGAAGATGAAGAAGGATATTGTCAAGGGCCTAGAAGCATTGAAGCAAATGAAAAACAAACTTGGATCTTCTCCACCAATTGGTATAGAAGACCATCTATCAATGGTTGCTAGAGTACTAAAACAAGTCTGTGTTATCACTATCTCCATCTTCCATTCACTCTTGACATTCATGTCCGTGTCCATGTCAAAGCGGAAATCTAGTGCGTGGCTATTGGTTTTAAAATTTGTGCACAAAGAGCAGATAAGTTATGAAGGCAATCAGAATAAGAATGAAGTAGAGAGTGTTGATGCTGCGATCCATGCCATAAGCAAGAAAATTTCAAGGAAAGATTGTGATATTGAGAAGAAGGTGGAAAAAGCAAAGACAAGGTTGGATAGTTTGGAAGTCACCATTGAAGATCTAGAGAGTGGTTTGGAGTGCATGTTTAGGCACTTAATCCAGATGAGAGTCACCCTCCTTAACATATTGGCTTACTAAACATTTCTTCCTGCAATTTTCCCAAAATCTGACCCATGGTTGGCATCTACATTTTAAAGGATTTTGCCAACGGGTTATATCATATGTTTTAAAAGCTACCGGTTTGTAGCTTATTTATACACATCATCAATGAAAGTCTATTGTACATCATTACAAGATAATGCAATACAATTGTTTGACAATAATTGGTTCTTTTATTCTTTTGATTTATTTTTTCAATGCACTAATATCGATTTTAATTCAACGAGCTGCTGAAAATTTTCGATGAGTTTCAGTCTTTTTTTTTTTCTTTTTTTGACATGCTTTCAGGATATAAATTGAATTACCTAAAAAAACATCAAATTTCCCCAAAATTTGTCAACTTTCTATGGAATGTGTTTCCTTTCTTTTCTAGTTGCTATTTATTTATTTTTTGATATAGAGCTTATATTTTCTGGTAAACCAAAATTAATTAATTGAGGAATTGAAGCTATAACAATAATATGAACTTTGAATTCAACTAATCTAATTCCATGAGAATTTGCCATCTTTTATGTGATGAGGCATATTGAGGCCTTTTCATTCGGTAGCATGCTTCTGTAGAATGTATTTGTTGAACATTAATTTGTAATTTATGAGAAACAACTATATATGAACGTGGGAGAGTTAAACAAGAAAGTTTCTTCAATTACCGAAAATTTTCGGAAGCCAAAGGTTGTGCCTTTCCATTGTTATTTTATGATATATATATACAAACTCGATGGAGTTTCTTGCTCCCTAAAACTTTTCTTTGGGTAGCATGTCTTCCAAAGCTACAATTCTAACTGTATAGCTCTCTCTCTCCTTCGGAAGGCTACAAAACCTTCTGTTTAATTCCACAGAATGTATTTGTTGAACATTAATTTGTAATTTATGAGAAACAACTATGAATGTGGGAGAGTTAAACAAGAAAGTTTCTTCAATTACGCTCCAAGTTTGGTTCGATCCTCAATTACTCTCCAAGTTTAGTTTCAATTTTTTTTTTCTTTTTTTTTTTTATGGTGAGTACTTTGATAATAGGATTCTTCAAATAAAGGCTCAGTTTATGTTAGTAAATTTATGAGAGATAGTTGAATCTAGCTATCATGAACCTCCAGTTATAGCAAATATTGAAGCATGGACAATATTTATACTACTTTAAATCTATCTATACCAAGGTTTTAAAAACCGACCCAGAAATGGAACCGTTCTAGCTATCGGTTTCCAGGTCAGTGGTTCAACCGTCTGGGTCAAACAGTTTGGATGGTTTGTATATTAGGTGTAGGGCAAATATTTCATATGAATTTTGAGAAACGAGAATTGGAGTGAAGAAGAGATGTCGGCTGAGAATGAAAAAGAGAAAGAAAGTAAGGAAGGATAAAGGACAAAAGGAAAAGAAGAGAAAGGAAAGGAAGGAGGGAAGAAGAAAAAAAGAGAGGAGGATGGTTCGACATCACTGGCAACGATAATGGTGACGACGACGACGATGGCGAAGCAGCAGAAACACATAGATCTGAGTTCGCCGATCTCATATATGAAATTCTCTACAACCTCCTCCTCCTCCTCTTCTTCTTCTTCTTCTTCTTCTTCTTCTTCCACAGATCTGAGATTCTCTACAACCTCCTCCTCTTCTTCTTCTTCTTCCACAGATCTGAGACATGAACTCAGATCTGAGCGTGTGTTTCTTTGCATCTTTATAATGTTAACCGTTGTCCAGGTCAAACGAGTCAACGGTTCAATTGCCCGGGTCAGTGGTTTTCTGACAAAGTCAACGGTTTTTGACCCAAGAACGGGTTAGGGGTGAAATGGAACCGGTTGCTTGGACGATTTTCGGGCCGAACTGTCCGACCGTCCGGGTCAATGAAGGTTCAAAAACATTGATCTATACTACTTTAAAAAGCACTAATGGCCTCAAGAATATTTCTGGAATTTTCGAAGAACAAAATTTATCCCTTTATATTTAAATTTATTGATAAAAAAGGAGGGCAAATAGGGTAATTGGTTCTTGATATTAAATGAGTTGAAAAGAGGTAATTTAAAGATATTCAATTCATTCAATTCTCTCTCATTTAATCCAACATTTAAGTTATTAACTTGCATCAATATTCATTGAATCATATATTTAAGTCATTTTTGTTTCTTCTCATCATTAAGTTCTATTAATTAAATCCTTACTTAATAAATTAATAATTCCAATAACATAAAAGCTTATAATTTTAAAATCTACATAGCAAAAATAGTATTTTCATCTAGGTGGTAATAAGAAATTAAATCATTTTGGGTCAAATGGGTTAATCCATGTTGCCACGACTAAATAATAAAATTAAAAAAATAGATAAAATGAAAAAATAGAAATTAAAAAATTTGGAAACATTTTTAATATACATATTAAACAATAATAAGTATGATAAATAAGAAATGTTTTTATTAATGATGCAAATAGAATGTAAAATTTAAAACCAATTGGAAATAAAAATATTTTCCTATTTTCTCATTCTTCTCTCTCACTCTCTCTCTCATTCAATATCTCTTTCTCCCTCAATCTCTATTGTTCTCTAATTGGTATAAATTTCATAGCTAAGAATTTCTTGTAAATTTTTATCAAATTGGTGTAATAATTTTTGAATCATACAAAGTTGGTCTAATGTTCTTTTATAAGATTTGATTAATACCACATAAGTGTCTTAGAAAATAAAACAAACAAGAGAGGGAGCAAGAGAGAAACTAAAGGAGAACGATAGAAATTAAGGGAGAAGGAGAGATCAACCAAGAAAGAAATTGAGAGAGATTGAGAGAGAACGATAGGTAGAGAGAGAGAGTGTGTGTGTGTGTGAGAAATTGATATGGAGAACATAAATACAGAAACCAAAAACCATTTTTATTTATTTTCAAATCACATAGTCGTTGAGCAGATAAAGATAACTGTGAGTGAGATGGTGAGAGAGAGAGAGACTAAAAACCTTTTTTTTTTTCAATCACTCAACATTAAAGGGCAATTTTAGTATAAGCATTTTGTTGTGTCCAACATGGATTAAGAGTCCCATGTTGGCAACAACCACATAAGCCTCCGATGACATAGAAAGGGTTTTTATAATTTGAAATGTAGAGTCAGTTGTCAAAATTATGTAGGTTTATGAACCAACTTGTAGCCTAATTTTAAATGTATACCTGGCTCTGACTATAATTTTTCCTAATTTAAAACTAATCCAAAAATAATGCTATTTTCTTATCTAGATGGTGAGTTAATGGTCCAACTTTTTTAAAAAACCCATGATGTCATAATTGAATAATAAATATTTAAGTTAATTTTTAATCATATTGTTACTTTTGTTAAATTTCAATTTCTATCTTAACTGTGATATATCTAAAATTTAAGTAATCAATATGAAGAAAAATTTCTCATGTGTAAAGCATGTGCTTAATTACTAGCAATAATAAAAAGAATATAAGGAGAACAAAAGAAAAAGATGCAAAAGTCCTCAATCAAGATAAAGTATTATGGTTGTGTCTGAATTCTTTGTTGCAATCCACTTCATACATCCGCTCCAAAATAAGTTGAGAAAACTCTAAAGGCGAAATTTCATAGTAATTTGTGGTGGAAGCATTGGTGCATGGTATGGACTTGATCCATATTCAGCTTATGGGTTGCAAACCATATTAGAATACAGCCTTTACTCTGCTCCAGGAATAGTAAAATTATATATCATTCTAAAACTTTACTCAATAAAGTGTACACTTCAGATTTTAGAATCAGAGTCAAGATGTTGCTTGTGTTTTATGTTTGGATTGTTTTGCCGCAATGGGGAAAACAAGCCACTCGTGCATAAAAATATTATAAATGCTACTTTTGTTGGTCTCCATTTTTATGCTTTACATGTCTATCTTTCTAATCTCAATCCATGCACCTGGACCATGTTGTTTGAATTAATTTTTCAGATAAAATGGTTATTGGTTCAAATATTACCTGCGGCCTTTCTCAACTCCCCTTTCAATTTTTCAAAAATGGTTCTATGGTGTAGTGGTTAGCACTTTGGACTTTGAATCCAGTGACTTGGGTTTGACTCCTGATAGGATCTCTTTATTTTGAAATGCAAAAGAAGAAACGGGATAAATAATGAATCCATTAGAGGTGTAAAGTGGGTCGTGCCGTATTGTCCCATAGGCCATTATGGGCCGTGTCGCCCTCCTTAGTGAAAATTTTGGGGGTGGGCCCAAAACGGTCCATGGCCCAGGCCCATGTGGGCCCATGCCGTGTCATAGGCTGAGCTTGCCCATGGGCCAAGCCTTGGCGTAAGTCGGGCCATGGACCGGGTTAAAGCTATTTTTGTCTATTTATTTAAAAAAATTGAAAAAAACTTAAAATTTTAATTTTATATGAATTTTGATGTATACAATTGCTTATATATACAATAATTAAATAAATTAGTATAATAAAATTCAAAATAATTGTTTATTTTATTAATATATTATATACTATATATTGTTATATAATTATAATTTATATAAATATATATATATATATATATATATTATATAAATATATAAAATATGTAAATATTATATATATATATATAATATAAATAGTATATATGGGCTGTACCGGCATGCGGGCCATGGGCGGCACGTCCCGCTTGATTATGTCGTACCATGCCGGACTGCTGGCCTGTGAACTTCAAACCCCAGTCCCAACACGACACGGATCATCATGCCGGGCCTGATACGGTCCGTGGGCTGTTGTGCCATGCCATTAGGCACCGGTCGAAAGTCGTGCTGGGCCGTGGGTGGCACGGCCAGATTTATACCTCTAAAACCCATAACATTTGATCAAAAAATAACTCATAACCAATTGAAGGCTGAAGTCATATACTTTTATCTTGTATTGACGAAGGTAGTCAAGTTTGGTTTTTCATTTAAAACTCTGGTTTTAAAATTTTGTATTTATTTGGTCCAGTTTTTAATAAAATAAACCAAATGCTCAGAGCCCTATGTTAGATAATGTGAAT